CTTCTGCGCACTGCGTGAATTAGGTGGCATCCGTGTGGTATATTGCTAAGTTGTCAGACAGGAGCATGGCATCGAGTATTGTCGTGACCTCGCAACCATGGACCAAGCGAAAAGGTGTGAAACCGGTACTTTCTTGAACAGCAGTGTTATACCAAAACTTCTGTAGGAAGAATGGTGTCCCAGTTCTTGTGATCGATGTCCACAGACAATGACAACATGTCTGCAATTGTCTTATTGATTCGTTCTGTCATCCCGTTTGCTTGCAGGTGGTAAGCCGCTGTTTCACGATGTTATGTCCCACTTATTCCCAAGACTTCCTACAGCATCTCTGCGGTGAAATCTGTCCCGCGATCAGTTATGACGACAGCTGGTGCACCGTGACGTAAGACGATGCTGTTAACAAAAAATTGGGCGGCGTCTGCTGCGGTGGCTTTTGGAAGTGCCTTTGTTTCACAGTAGCCTGTTATGTAGTCAGTAGGGACCACAATCCACTGGTTTCCAGACGAGGACGTGAGGAAATAACCCCAGCAAGTCCATGCCAATCCGGTGAAAAGGCGCCTTTTGTGGGCCTATTGGTTGCAGTAGTCCCGCTGGTCGTAAAGGTGGAATCGTACGTCGCTAACAGTCGCGACATGTGCAAACGTAGTGCTTCACAGTCTTTGCGAGACGTGCCCAGTAGTCTGAGCGTTGATACTGTTGCAGCGTGCGCGTATAGCCGAGGTGGCCGGACGTTGACTCATTACAACACGCACGTAAAATGTCACCACGAAGCGTAGTTGGCCCAACAAGCAGATACATAGCTTGTGTGGGATGAAAGTTCTTATAAAACACTCCATCGCGGAAACAAAAGGAGGATAGCGAGCGTGCAAAACTTCGAGAAGGGTAGCAATTGAGCCCTTCCAGGTAGTCAATGAGCGGGATGAGCTGCGAGTCATAACGCTGTTGCTCAGCCAAGCTGGTTGTTGGTACGGCAGAAAGAAAAATGTCGTCGTCTTCAAGGCCAGTGTTGCACTTTCGACTAGTGGCACGTGAGAGACAGCCGGCGTCGGTGTGTTTCCGCCCTTATTTGTGGATGATGATGACATCAAAATCTTGTAGCTGAAGGCTCCATTGTGCTAGACGACCTGAGGAAAATTCTAGATGCACGAGCAAACAAAGGAAATGGTGGTCTCTAACTATCCTGAATGGATGGCCATACTAGTATGGGCGGAATTTTGTTATGGCCCAGACAGCAGCGAGGCATTCCTTTTCGGTTGCAGAATGATTTTTCTCAGCTGGGGATAAGGTTCCTGCTCACATAAGCGATCACGCGCTCTACGCCATAATGCTACTGAAATAATACCGCTCCTAGTCCAACGTTGCTGGCGTCAGCGTGTAATTTCGTGTCAGTGCTTTCGTCAAAATGACCCAGTACAGGCGGAGCCTGGAGGAGGTTTCGGAGGGTGTCGAATGCATAGCACTGATCGGGATCCCAAACAAATGAGACACCGTCTTTTGTAAGCTTGTTGAGAGGTTCAGCAATCGTCGAAAAGTTTTTGACAAAATGCCTGTAATATGCACAGAGCCCCAGAAATCGGCGTATGTCGCAATTAATTGTGGGCACAGGAAAGGTGGCAACAGCGCGGGTTTTCTACAGATCTGGGCGTATGCCGGCATGGCTCCCGAAGTGAACAAGGAACTTCAGTTCTTCATATTCAAAATGACATTTCTCGAGTTTTAGAGAAAGCTCGGCTGTTCTGATTGCCTCAAGAACTGCCTGAAGGCACTGGACGTGTCGTTCGAACGTGTTTGCAAAGACCACGACGTCACCAATGTGCACAAGACATGAATGCAATTTGAGTCCCGTGAGAACCATAATTATCATTCTTTGGAAAGTAGCTGGCGCTGAGTCTAGACCGGAAGGCAACACTGTAAACTAGTACAGACTATCGGGACTAATAAACGCCGTCTTTTTGTGACCGTGCTCATCCACTGCGATTTGCCAGTAGCCGCTGCGCAAATCCATGGAGTAAAAATATTTAGCGTTGCATGTGCAGTCCAAGGAGTCATCTATCCGGCGTAGAGGATAAACGCTCTTTTTGGTGGCCTTGTTCAGTTTACGGTAATCAACGCAACAGCGCAACGTACCATCCTTCTTCTTTACCAGCACAACTGGCGAAGCCCAGGGACTGTTCGATGGCTGAATGACGTCGTCCTGGAGCATCTGCTGGACTTAGTCATGTATAGCGTCTTGCTCCTTTTTGCCACCATTCATGAACGTGCCACTGTGGCTCATACTCGTTTTGAGCTGCGAAGAGAACATTTTCGTTCTCTGGTTCAGGTGAACGCCTGGCTGTAGGTCTTGTTTTGTTCAGGACATAGCTGATGGAGGTTCAGGGTAGTTTAAGGAGTTCGCTGGCCCGTGATATGGGCTTTGATTTCGCGGGGGCGCTTACCGTAGCGCGTGCATCGAGCATCAAGTGGAAGCTGTGGAGATCTAGTTGCCGGTATTGACAGTTCCAGGATACGTGACCCGCTCCGCCGCAGTGATAGCAGAGCGGACGGTTATACGAGGTGTGCCACGTGCTTGCCTTGCTACCACTTTGTCTTGAGGCAGACGGCAGATAGGTGGGTGTGCTCGGAAACCTTGAGCCTAGAGGCGGGATCGAAGCAGTGTCGTGGAATGGTTGCATAGCCTGGTACCTAGGCCGCATTGTAAGATCTGTAGCTGGTGGCGCAGGGGATCGCAATGCCGCTGCATATGTCAGGACTGGGGCCACGAGAGTAGGTGGTGCGATTGGAGCCAGGGGTGTGATGGCCTGCCAGACTTCTTGTCTGATTACATCCGCGAGGGCTGACGCAGGTGGATGGAATCCCACTGCATGAAGCTGTCGGTATTTGTACCGAACGACACTTCGAATGAAGTGTGCGAGGGCCTGTCTCTCGCTGTCAGAGCCCATAAAGCATGCTGTGGCCGAAATTTGGCGTTCGTGTTGTGACGACCGCTGCTGCAGAATACGTTCAGTTGTGGTTGCCTCACCGATTAACTCAGTGACTGCCGTTGGTGGATTGCGCATGAGCCCAGTGAAAAGCTGTTCTTTTACTCCAGGCACCAAATGTCGCACCAATTTTTTCCTCCGGCATGACAGGGTCCGCGCGCCTGAAGAGCCGAAACATGTCCTCGACAAACATAGATACTCATTCGTTCAGCCACTGGTTTCGGCAGTATATGGCTTGTTCAGCACTCTCCTTCCTCTCGGTGTTGCGATAGGCGTCACGGAGCTGTCGGCTAATCTCTCGCCAGGTTGCAAAGGAGCCCTCGTTCTTCTCGTACCACGTCTTCACCGAATCCTCCAAGTAGGAGTAAACTTGGTGCAGCTTGCGAACATCGTCCCATTCGTTGATACTAGCAACCCCATCAAAGTGGTCAAGCCAGTCGTCAACATGCTCGAAGATGTCTCTATGGAATGGCTTTGGTGTCTTTGGTGCATGAAAAACATGCGCGAGAAAAGAACAATAAAAATCGCTGGTTTGGACCACCTGGCTTTTCATCGGAGTTGCAATTTTTCCGGGTGTCGATGCCAAGAAACCAAACTAAGGGGGTAAACCACGCAAGCGGTGGCTGCTTCTTGCTCTGAGAGATGTAGCTGTCTCTAAGATGGCCGACACAGCAGAAGCACATGTACCCAGAGTCTCCACCAGTTATGTCACGAGCAAAACAAGACCTACAGCCCGGAGTTCACCTGAACCAGAGCAATAAAAATGTGCTCTTCTTTTTCGCAGCCCAAAACGAGTATGAGCCACAGTGGCTCGTTCATTCATGATGGCAATATAATCTTTATCGAAACAAAATTTTGAAGCACTGAGTAAGGTTTAGAAGCAGTGATTTCTCGCTTCGCAGCTTGGTGCTTTGGAGAGAGCTCTACTACGCGCCAGTGAAAGCGCCAGCATAATAACGGCGAGCTATTTCTACACACCCACTGGAGGAGCGCAGGGCTCGGAAGATTTTGAGCATGTTCAGACAATCATCAATCAATCTGGGCATCGGTGCAGTTGAGCGCGCTGTGACAGAGGAGACTAATTGAGAGAAACACAACGCAAGCGCTCACGTTCATTCAAAGATTAATTGAGAAAAATGAAATCGAGTCACATAGATGTACCCTGCAAGCGGCATGATAAAAAGATAGAGATGTAAGGTAAATATTTTATAAATATTAGCCTGACAACAGGAAGAGGTAATAAAACAAATCCGCCGGAACGTACAGAAAATAAAAGCACACACCACGTAGCACAAGAATACGCACACAAAGAGACCACACAAGCGCTGAATAGTGTTTGTTCCGTCTCATTTTGTGTGTGTCCTTTGTATAACCTGTAGAGCGCTGTCATATGCTGTAATATTTTGCTAGCTAGTGCCAAAATACGTCTTAAGCTGAAACTTGCAAGCCACTAGGAGGCGAGGTAAAAAAACAAGCGCTTTTTTTTATCAAATAGGGTCTGCGACATCTGGCTCCCACGCCTGTGGCACAAGATTTTATAAGCGTGGCTGTTTTTTGCCTCAACATGGTGTAAAACAACTTCACCCTTCGTGGAATTCCGAATAAGTTCGATGATATCAAGGATAGTTGCACCTGGGACAAGGGCTAGTTTTCGATAGCGAGGAGTAAACTGAGGAAGAGGAATACCGTATTCTTACAATTAGATGAGAATAAGAAACGCTGTTTTTCACATGTGCTAGCACAAGAAAGTACTGCACTTCAATGAAGGCAGTAGAGAGAATAGCACTCAAGTGTAACTTTGCGAGTGCAATCAATAGCCACACCCCTGATTTTCAACTCTCCCGGCATAGGCACGCACGAAAGCACGCACACCCGAACACACACACACAAGTTCCAAAAATAAATCACCACCACGTGATTTTAGAACCTTGAAGCCAGTATATTTGCATGCTTTTATGAATTGAGCCTCGTCACTGATATTTATATGTATATTTTGCGACAGGTGAAAAGGGTTTCCTAGCACGTTCTTCGATTCGCCTGCAAGGCGCAAAGATGACCCCAGCCCATCGATCAAAGAATACGTTCACCGCACGTGATGTGTACCTGTAAGTATAACAACGACAATAACAGCAACAACAAAAGGTAGCAAACAATGTTGCGTTTAGCTTCGTAACGTAGCATTTACGGCGTATTAGAACGTGTGTAGTGGTGCATACGCATCAACGCATATGCGCTTTTGGAAGATAATGAAAAGCCCCTTGCTCTGCTTGCGCGAGAGCCTGTGCCACCTTTGCCAGACTTGCCGTACAGCCACTTTTTGTGGCAACCACGTTGCGACTTCTCTGCTCGAATAAACGTCATCACATTTGGTGGAGGCTGCTGAGATCCCCAAGCAAACCTCGTGCTCTGCTCTCACAACTTGGCCGACAGACCACCGCGAAACATGACTGACGCTGTCGCCAATCAGCCCGTCCTAGCCCAGCCAACACCATCGGCTGCCCCGTCAACCTGTCCCGCCGCTACTCGCTAACGCGCCCCACCAATCTTCAGCGGCAGTGATGAGCAAGACGTCGAAGCCTAGCTCTCCTTGTACGAATGCGTAAGCGCCAGAAACAAGTAGGACGACGACTCTAGGCTCGTCGACGTTATCTTTTACTTGGCAGACGTATCTAGGCTTTGGTTTACTAACCGCGAAACCGTCATCGCCAACTGGTCCTCCTTTAAGGCCCTCGTGACTGAAGCGTTCGGCCCACCAGAGGTCTGCAAGCTCCGCGTTGGCCAGCGTCTGCGCCACCCAGCCCAGCAGCCTGGCGAGACGTTTACTAGTTACATTGAGGATGTGCTCGATCTCTGCAGGCATGTTAACCCATCTATGCCTGAAAAAATTACGGCATATTCACGGGGTGAATGATGATGAATGGGCGAAGCTCCGGAGATTCTGTCTGCGAATCTGTCTGCGAGCGCGCGCTGCTGCCGCCTTGCGCCCTTTCCGCTGTGCAGCCTTATCCATCCGGCGACTCCGAGCACGCACCAACAGCGAACGGATTTTATTGCCACGCTCCCCCTAGCGTACGTCGCCGCACTAAATCGAACGATTGCCTTCAATCAATGACACGCGCCATATGTGACATCATTCCTATTTTATAAGATCTCGCATCTTTCATCAACTACAAGTACCGCTTTCTAGTTTATAACATCTTGCATCTTTTCATCATCAGCTACAAGTACCACCATCTAGTAAACACTACAAGAACTAAACGAGAGGTGGCTACATACAGGAGACGGTACCGCCATCTAGTGAACACTGCAAGAACTAAACTAGAGGTGGCTACATACAGGGGACGGTACCGCCATCTAGTGAACACTGCAAGAACTAAACTAGAGGTGGCTACATACAGGCTACAGGGGACGCACAGCCCACGCCCTAAGGAGCTTCGCTTTTTCCGTCCATTTATTGAGTGGCGCTCCCATGACAACCGTCCTATCTGCTTCGCGTGTGGCATCGCTGGCCACATTGCACGCTTCTGCCGCCGCCGTCCCACAGCTGCGTACGCCTCCTTTGGAACTCCTACCTATGCGTCGCAGCAGGCCACCACGTCTGCATATGAACAGAGGCACTCTGACTCGGATCTTCGCCCATCAACTTCTCGTTTCCCATCTTCTTGTCGCCGACCGCCATCTCCTATGCGTCGTAGACCACCTCCTGGGAAGGGAAACCAATCAGTGCAGTTCCAGAAGCAAAAACTGCAACTTCTGCGCCATTATTGAGGCCTCCATTTTAGCCGCAAAATATTGTTGATGTCAATGTTGAGGGAGTCGCCACACAAGCGTTGATTGATACTGGGGCTGCGGTTTCTGTGATGAACGGAAAATTTTGACGCAAACTGAAGGGACCACGTCTCTCTGTGGCATGGTGCTGTCCACGGCTAGCGCGCAACGCATTCATTCCTCGGCTGTGTGTACGGCGCGCGTCGTCATCCAAGACGTTTTGTACATCGTCCAATTTTTCGTTCTACAATCTTGCCCTCATGACCTCATCCTAGATTAGAATATCTTATCATATCATGAAGTTATCAACGATTGTTGCCTTGCGGAAGTGGCCCTAGTGCCAATTTGTAAATTTTCATTGCCCGATCATTCACCTCTGCTCTGCAAACTCATCGCTGACGATGACATCACCTTGCCTCCGGAAGCTTCAGTCCCTATAAGCCTTTCACGTGTTCCGCTAACCTGACGCCACGGCGGTGTTTACGTCCTCTCCGGTTTTTACTGAAGGCAAGCGCATTGTGCCCCTATTTGCCGTTCTTACGATTGCAGTCTGGTTTACCCGTAATTCTGGTTACCAACCACTGCAACTACCCTATTGGCGTACTCCGTGGTGAAACCTTAGGATATGTACAACCTGTTGACCATATCGATGATATTATTTTTCCCGACGAAACCCCATGTCACATTGCCGCAATCACTCGTGCGTCTGAGCTATCAAGTTCGCCAGCCTTCGACAATGCTATTGACGCAGACCTTCCCACCTCGCATCGCGGCCAACGTGTTGCTCTCATTAACAAGTTTCGCTCTTCTTGCGACTTTCAGGAACCTGCTTTGTGCCGCACCACGACTGTCACTCATACTATTGACACCGGCTCACATTCGCCTCTGCGACAGCGTCCTTACCGCGTTTCTGCAGAAGAGCGCCCCGTCATTACGGAGCAAGTAGATGACATTCTTAAGCGTGGAGTCATAAGGCCTCCTCCAGGCGCTTGATCGTCACCCGTGGTTCTGATAAAAAAAAACATGCCACCGTTCAATTTTGCGTGGACTACCGCCGCCTAAACAAGATTACAAAAAAGATGTCTACCCGCTAGGACGAATAGACGATGCTCTTACTGTTTGCAAGGCACCGAGTACTTTACGTCCTTGGATCTGCGTTCTGGGTATTTGCAGGTGCCAATGGCTGAGTGTGATTGCCCTAAAACAGCCGTTGTAACGCCGGATGGCCTCTATGAGTTTGAAGTCATGCCAGTGGGCACGACAACAGAACCAACAGCAACATATTAAGGAATCCGTTCTGCTTTGTTCTACAGGTGACGGCGATTCTTCTTGGAAGCGCGCTCACACCGCCCGGCTGCAGTGCAGAAGCAGCAAGTGCCGATCAGATTGCAGGAGCTGGTATCCAGCTATCATCAAGCGGCTATCACCTCGTCAGCAACACCAGCCTGTTCCTCGTTCAAAAGTATGCATGGATGCCGACAGGAGGAGCGTCTCATCCGATGACGTCACAACTTGTCCAGTCCGCAACCAGTATAAGAAGAGAAGGAGCATCGTCGTCCTTCAGTGGGCACGGCAACAGCACAAACGGCAACATGTTAAGGAATTCGTTCTGCTTTGTTCTACAGGTGACGGCGATTCTTCTTGGAAGCGCACTCACACCAGCCCGGCTGCAGTGCAGAAGCAGCAAGTGCCGATCAGATTGCAGGAGCATGGTGTCCGGCTATCATCAAGCGGCTATCCCCTCGTCAGCAACACGAGCCTGTTTCTCGTTCAAAAGTATGCATGGATGCCGACAGGAGGAGCGTCTCATCAGATGACGTCACAACTTGTCCAGTCCGCAACCAGTATAAGAAGAGAAGGAGCACCGTCGTCCTTCAGTGGGCACGGCAACAGCACAAACGGCAACGTGTTAAGGAATTTGTTCTGATTTGTTCTACAGGTGACGGCGATTCTTTTTGGAAGCGCGCTCACACCGCCCGGCTGCAGTGCAGAAGCAGCAAGTGCCGATCAGATTGCAGGAGCTGGTATCCGGCTATCATCAAGCGGTTATCACCTTGTCAGCAACACAAGCCTGTTCTTCGTTCAAAAGTATGCATGGATGCCGACAGGAGGAGCGTCTCATCCGATGACGTCACAACTTGTCCAGTCCGCAACCAGTATAAGAAGAGAAGGAGCACCGTCGTCCTTCAGTGGGCACGGCAACAGCACAAATGGCAACATGTTAAGGAATTCGTTCTGCTTTGTTCTACAGGTGACGGCGGTTCTTCTTGGAATCGCGCTCACACCGCCCAGCTGCAGTGCAGAAGCAGCAAGTGCCGATCAAATTGCAGGAGTTGGTATCCGGCTATCATCAAGCGGCTATCACCTCGTCAGCAACACGAGCCTGTTCCTCGTTCAAAAGTATGCATGGATGTCGACAGCAGGAGCGTCACATCAGATGACGTCACAACTTGGCCAGCCCGCAACCAGTATAAGAAGAGAAGGAGCACCGTCGTCCTTCAGTGGGCACGGCAACAGCACAACCGGCAACGTGTTAAGGAATTCGTTCTGCTTTGTTCTACAGGTGAGGCAACATGTTAAGGAATTCGTTCTGCTTTGTTTGTACAGTGATGGCGATTCTCTTGGAAGCGCGCTCACACCGCCCAGCTGCAGTGCAGAAGCAGCAAGTGCCGATCAAATTGCAGGAGCTGGTATCCGGCTATCATCAAGCGGCTATCACCTCGTCAGCAACACGAGCCTGTTCCTCGTTCAAAAGTATGCATGAATGTCGACAGCAGGAGCGTCACATCAGATGACGTCACAACTTGGCCAGCCCGCAACCAGTATAAGAAGAGAAGGAGCACCGTCGTCCTTCAGTGGGCACGGCAACAGCACAACCGGCAACGTGTTAAGGAATTCGTTCTGCTTTGTTCTACAGGTGATGGCGATTCTTCTTGGAAGCGCGCTCACACCGCCCGGCTGCAGTGCAGAAGCAGCAAGTGCCGATCTCATTGCAGGAGCTGGTATACGGCTATCATCAAGCGGCTATCACCTCGACAGCAACACGAGCCTGTTCCTCGTTCAAAAGTATGCATGGATGCCGACAGGAGGAGCGTCTCATCAGATTACGTCATAACTTGTCCAGCCCGCAACCAGTAAAAGAAGAGAAGGAGCACCATCGTCCTTCAGTGGGCACGGCAACAGCACAAACGGCAACATGTTAAGGAATTCGTTCTGCTTTGTTCTACAGCTTTGTAAACATTTGCCTACGCATTGCTACCGCAGCGATGACCGTTTTTTAGTGCTGTTGCCTTGCCCCACAATGATAAAATGTGTACTTAGTTGTATTTGTTCCTTA